GAACCCATTGAACTACAGACCCGTATCAATAACAAGTATTCCCATGCAAGTTGCTAGAGAGAATGATCCGAAGCAGGCTAGTTGAACATTTAGACCACGTCAGTTTTGGTCTCAAAACACCAGAATGGTTCTAGTAAAGTGAAATCCTGCTTCACAAACTTGCTGGAGTTCTTCAACAAGATGACAGAAATAAGAGAGAGAGAGAGAGAGAGAGAGAGAGAGAGAGAGAGAGAGAGAGAGAGAGAGATGAGCGGACTGCATATTCCTTGACTGTCAGAAGGCATTTAATACGGTCCTGTCCGAGACACTCCTCCTCAAACTTGTGAAGCAGGCTGACGTACCGGGAAGAGTCCTAAGATGGGTCAGAAGTAACCCCTCAGGAAGGAAGCCAAGGGTTACAGTGAAAGGAGAGACATCAGAGTGAAGAGAGAGGTTTACCGACTGGTTTAACTGGTCTGTTAATACCGGTGGGATAATTTTTGTTTATATAATTTAATTCATATTAAGGTTTAGTTTCAAGTCTCTTCCTGATTTAAGTTTCTTAAAAAAAGATAACGATTATCTTTAGTTTTTAAAGACTAAAGATAAAGAAACTGAAGAAACTTAATGACCTGATTTAAGTTACTTAAATCAGACTTTTAAAACTAGGTGTTCAGCTGCCTTACGGCTTCAAGTTATTAATTTAGCGACCGAATTTCCAGAACGATTTAAGGTAGTTTGAAAAATTTTAAGAAATTTAGGAGTTAATGGATTGTGCAGTCTTCGAAATGTTGAACGTTATGTAAATAGTGAGGGGAAGGGGGAGGAGCACGGGGGGGGGGGGGGGGGAAGGGGGAGGAGGAGGCAGCGAAGAGAAGCGGGAGGCGAAGAGTGATACAATTAATGAAGAAGAGAAATGCAGAGAAGACGAGAAAGACATGGGAAGGGGAGGAGAATAGAGAGACGGGTAGGTAATGCAGAGAGATGGAGGAAGGCTGAGACGTATAGGAAGATGAAGTGAAGTATATGTATAGAGAGAGAGAGAGAGAGAGAGAGAGAGAGAGAGAGAGAGAGAGAGAGAGAGAGAGAGAGAGAGAGAGAGAGAGAGTATAGATTGGATAGAAATAAAAACCAAAGGAGAGGCAGAGAAGGAGAGGAGGCGAAGGAAAGATAGAGAGCGAGAGGGGAAAAGAGGGTGGGGGAGAGGATTGCATTTATTGTATAAGGATGAATAAGAAGTACACAGTGAGAGGCGCTGGGACAGCAGACCAACTCCCACGGTCAATCTAACGGGATCGAACCCCATCTAATTGTCATTCATGTGTTAGTTATGTTGGGACGACGGCCAGGGACCAGGTACTGGAGCCCGTTCAATTATTCAACTCCATTTGTGTGTGTGTGTGTGTGTGTGTGTGTGTGTGTGTGTGTGTGTGTGTGTGTGTGTGTGCGTGCGTGCAAGGGCAGCTTCACTGTCACCTGACCAACAGGTATAACTATGATAATTACTATTACCGCTTTATTATCGAGTCCTTCATGATTGTTTGCATTATTGCTGGCATTATTGCCCTCATTATTATCATATACATATATGACTATCACATATATTGTCTTCCTTACCACCACCTCCGCCATCACCACTAACTATTCCCGCTCTCGGGGGGCGAACTAATGCAGTTCCCATGATTTCTACTTCCGTTTTCTCTTGTTTAATTTTGACTGCGTGCGTTTTTTGTTTGGGATATTTTTTTGATATAGATCATTTAGAAACTGGACTGGATTTAGATTAATGCCCAAATTAACAGCGGCCGTACAGGGGAGCGGCGTCCCCCTCTACAGTGACGTCACAACGCGAAATGAGCAAATCGGAATTAATCATCATAAAAATGTTTGCAATAATACGCATTTCCGTGCAACGAGGGAGTTGGGGAGGGGGGGGGGGGAGGGACTGGGGGAAGGGGAAGGGATGGGGGAGGGAAGGGGGGCGGCGGCCCAAGCGGGGGTCGCCACAAAAGCAATTGTAAATTCTGTCAAAATTTTGGGCCAGTCGATCTGTTTGATTGATACACGATTTTTTGCGTCCGTTGACAACTGAGCTGGAAGAGGGAGGGAGGGGGGGGGTGGGAGGGGGAAGGATGGGTAAGAGGTTAGGTGGGGGAAGGGTTGGGGAGGGTTAAAGACACATACCTTAAGGTGGGGTTGGGGGGGGGGGTAAGCAGATGTGGTGAGGGGTGTGGAACAGGCTGCAGGGAGGGAGGGGGTGCGAGTGAGGAGGAAGGGGTGAGGAAGGTAGAATGGTGGAAAAGAAAGTGAAATAAGACAAAAGAAATCGTTGATGGAAAGGGAAAACAAATAAGGTTAAAGTTAGGGGAGTAGGGAGTGAGGGAGAGGATACCGGTAGAAGAGGTGATAGAGAGAGATGATACAAGGAAAGAAGAGCAAAGGTGAGGGTAAACACAGATGGAACCGATGAGTGAAAGTGAGAGAGAGAGAGAGAGAGAGAGAGAGAGAGAGAGAGAGAGAGAGAGAGTTGAAATACATGTTGTCTAAGATAATGGGTGTAGACTAGGGGGTAAAGGCAACTAGGGACGAGGGTACGGGGTGAGAGAGAGGTTGTGGGTGATGGAGAAAGGTTGTGGGTGATGGAGAAAGGTTGTGGGTGATGGAGAAAGGTTGTGGGTGATGGAGAAAGGTTGTGGGTGATGGAGAAAAGTTGTGGGTGATGGAGAAAGGTTGTGGGTGATGGAGAAAGGTTGTGGGTGATGGAGAAAGGTTGTGGGTGATGGAGAAAGGTTGTGGGTGATGGAGAAAGACTTGGTTAGAAAACAAATGTTAAACTCATTAAAAATTGATTGAACTTGACGATAATAAAGAAAATAAACATTAACAGAGTTAACATCAACTGGTATTTACATTTGGTCATAAATTATTAAGATCGTTGTTAGTAGCATTCGCCTAAGTTGATGATGTCGTTCACCTAAGTTGCTGCTGCCACTCAGCTAAGTTGCTGCTGCCACTCAGCTAAGTTGCTGCTGCCACTCAGCTAAGTTGCTGCTGCCACTTAGCTAAGTTGCTGCTGCCACTCAGCTAAGTTGCTGCTGCCACTTAGCTAAGTTGCTGCTGCCACTCAGCTAAGTTGCTGCTGCCACTCAACTAAGTTGCTGCTGCCACTCAGCTAAGTTGCTGCTGCCACTCAGCTAAGTTGCTGCTGCCACTCAGCTAAATTGCTGCTGCCACTCAGCTAAGTTGCTGCTGCCACTCAGCTAAGTTGCTGCTGCCACTCAGCTAAGTTGCTGCTGCCACTCAGCTAAGTTGCTGCTGCCACTCAACTAAGTTGATGGTGTAATGCACCCAATTGCTGGTGTTATTCATCTTAGTTATTGGTGTCATTCACTAAGGTTGCCTTTTTCATTCACGTGACTTGTGACAGTCATTCATGCCAAGTTGCTATTTAAATTCACTTAAGTTGCTGGAGTCATTCACCCATGATGTAGTAGTGTCTTTCGCCAAACTTGCTGGTGTCATTCACTTTAGTTCTTCGTGTCATTCACCCAAGTTGCAGGTGTCACTAATGTTTGTTGATGGTGTCATTCATCGAATTTCCTGGTGTCACTCACATTTATTGCCGGTGTTACTTACATATGTTGTCGGTGTCACATATGTTGCCGGTGTCACATATGTTGCCGGTGTCACTCACATAAGCACATGACACTGTAAAATATGAACATAAAGGTAATACAGAATCCGAGACTACTTCTGTTCATGTAAAACAGAATTTACGTGATAGTCTGAAGTGATAATATGAACGCTGGCAGTGGTAGTCTGAACGCTGGCAGTGGTAGTCTGAACGCTGGCAGTGGTAGTCTGAACGCTGGCAGTGGAAGTCTGAACGCTGGCAGTGGTAGTCTGAACGCTGGCAGTGGTAGTCTGAACGCTGGCAGTGGTAGTCTGAACGCTGGCAGTGGTAGTCTGAACGCTGGCAGTGGTAGTCTGAACGCTGGCAGTGGTAGTCTGAACGCTGGCAGTGGTAGTCTGAACGCTGGCAGTGGAAGTCTGAACGCTGGCAGTGGTAGTCTGAACGCTGGCAGTGGTAGTCTGAACGCTGGCAGTGGTAGTCTGAACGCTGGCAGTGATAGTCTGAACGCTGGCAGTGGTAGTCTGAACGCTGGCAGTGGTAGTCTGAACGCTGGCAGTGGTAGTCTGAACGCTGGCAGTGGTAGTCTGAACGCTGGCAGTGGTAGTCTGAACGCTCTTTAACACGTAATCACAAGTTTAATATAGCTATGTATCTCTAGGGGTCGACCGCATCTTTGGCTAGCATCACCTGAGAAGGCTATGTGAGTGTGTGAGTGTGTGTGAGTGTGTGTGAGTGTGTGTGAGTGTGTGTGAGTGTGTGTGAGTGTGTGTGAGTGTGTGTGAGTGTGTGTGAGTGTGTGTGAGTGTGTGTGAGTGTGTGTGAGTGTGAGTGTGTGTGAGTGTGTGTGAGTGTGTGTGAGTGTGTGTGTGTGTGTGTGTGTGTGTGTGTGTGTGTGTGTGTGTGTGTGTGTGTGTGTGTGTGTGTGTGTGTGTGTGTATGTGTGTGTGTGGAGTTTACTTTTTTGTTTATAAACAACGATTTTAAGACGTGCAAATCCGACCTGTATGGAGGCTATAATCCGCTCGTCAAAACTCGTGTGATCGCCATGGGATCGCCAATCTCCATCGTGCTCCGGGCCGCTGTAGTCAACACTCGCCATCGAGACCTTCGATTCACGTGTTGCTTCGATCGCCAGTGTGTCGTCGGGCTTCTGTGATCGCCGCTGGCTATCGTATCCTGGGGCCAGCTGGGTTTGCCAATGGTGGGGGGGCCGGCCGAGCTGGTAGGGCCGGACCTACGCGGGGGTCTGGGGGGGTCAAGGCCCCCCTCACGCCCCCCCACGTGGCTGGGGACGTGTTGTCCTCCCCTAGTACTCGACGTTACAGCTCCAACAAATGAATTAATAAACCACAGGGGGCTCTGTGATCAAAAGGTTAAGGGGGGTTCCTCACTTGTTTGAGAAAAGAGTCTGGTCTCGAGTCGGGTCTCGAGTCTGGTCTCTAGTCGGGTCTCGAGTCTGGTCTCGAGTCGGGTCTCGAGTCTGGTCTCTAGTCGGGTCTCGAGTCTGGTCTCTAGTCGGGTCTCGAGTCTGGTCTCGAGTCGGGTCTCGAGTCTGGTCTCGAGTCGGGTCTCGAGTCTGGTCTCGAGTCGGGTCTCGAGTCTGGTCTCGAGTCTGGTCTCGAGTCTGGTCTCGAGTCGGGTCTCGAGTCTGGTCTCGAGTCGGGTCTCGAGTCTGGTCTCGAGTCGGGTCTCGAGTCTGGTCTCGAGTCGGGTCTCGAGTCTGGTCTCGGAGCTCGAGACGTTGCAAATGCAGCGTTTGGTCAATATGGCATAACACTAGGGCCGGTAATTCTGTATTGAGAGAGTCTCCCGTACATACTCAGGCTCTGTAAGATTGGAATATATTTTGCAATAGAACATTTGTTTAGATATTTCATGGTCAGACGATTTTAATCTCTATAATATATGATACGAAATTATTTTCTTCGTTTTACTCATATATATCAATATTTAATAATCCCAATTTGATGTTGTCATTATATAAGATGACTCCTCGCCTATAATGGCTCTATCACAACAGAGATTATATCATAGGGCATATTTTTCTTATGTAAATTCAGCAACGATAAAGGAATTCATAACAATTCTGTTGTGTCTATAATTATGTTGCAATCACTTGTGACACAAATGTTTCCTGTAAACATGGGATCATTCTGGCCACGTGAGCGAGGGGAGCGAGCCCAGAGGGCCAGGATAGAAAGTGGAGACCCACATGAAGGCATACGCATGCCATTGCACAAGGCGATCGCCCTCTAAAAGGCGGGAGCCCAGCAGCTGAGGCTCGACGTCTGTCGCATATTTAGGTTAGTACACTTGTACACACCATGTACTCATCTAGTTGTGCTTGCGCGGGTTGATCTCTGGCTCTTCTCTTTGGTCTCGTGTGTGTGTGTGTGTGTGTGTGTGTGTACCCACCTATTTGTGCCTGCAGGATCGAGCATTGACTCTAGGATCCCGCCTTTCTAGCCACCGGTTGTTTACAGCAATGACTCCTGTCCCTTTTCGCTATCATATCTAGTTTTACAATTATGAATAGAGTTTGCTTTAACAACCTGCTCCTGAAGTGCATTTCATTTTTCTACTACTCTCATGCTAAAAGAAAACTTCCTATCATCTCTGTGACTCATCTGAGTTTCCAGCTTCCACCCATGTCCCCTCGTTCTGTTACTAAAACGTGTGAACATTTCATCTAAATCCACTGTGTCAATTCACCTGAGTATTTTATACGTTCCTATCATATCACCCCCTCTCCCATCTTTTTTTTTTATAGTGTCGTAAGGTTCTGTTCCTTCAGGCGCTCTTCATATCCCATTCCTCGTAACTCTGGGACAAGCCTCGTCACAGGTACCTATTTACTGCTAAGTAGTAGGGGCATTCAGGGTGAAAAAAAACTTTGCCTGTTTGTTTCTGCCTGGTGCGGGAATCGAACCCGCGCCATAGAATTACGAGCCCTGCGCGCTGTCCACCAGGCCCCGTAGTGTGTGTGTACTCACCTAGTTGTACTTGTAGGGGTTGAGCTCTGTCTCTGACAACAATTACAACCTTGGCAGATCACAGGACACATAATGACGATACAACAACACTGGGGGGAGGGGGGGGGGACACATAACCCCGGGGAACAAGCATGACAAATATGCACCAAAACAACCACCACCAAAAGTGTGGCTGCGTTCACTTGTGACCTCTTGACCTACTCAAAGGTCAAGGGTCATAATGTACTTGATGAGCTCATCCTAACTATGCCTCCCTCCCTCGCTCCCTCCCTCCCTCCCTCCCTCGCTCCCTCCCTCGCTCCCTCCCTCCCTCCCTCCCTCCCTCGCTCCCTCCCTCGCTCCCTCCCTCCCTCCCTCGCTCCCTCGCTCCTCGCTCCCTCCCTCCCTCCCTTCCTCCCTCCCTCGCTCCCTCGCTCCCTCCCTCCCTCCCTCCCTCGCTCCCTCCCTCCCTCGCTCCCTCCCTCCCTCCCTCTCACTACCACTGTGCCCTCTTCACTGTCAACTGTCCTTAAGTGACTCTCCCGCGCCTGTACAACACGCCCCCCTGTCCTTTCGTGTGCCCCTGTCATCTACCTGTCCTTTAATCTGCCGTCTCTCATCTACACTCTCATTAGCCATTATATGCCACCCACCATTTACCGCCTTTCTACTGTCATTCATCTACTACCCTCCATTTAATACCTTTCATCTACTACTAGTCATCTACCATCCTTTATCTACTGTCATTGTTTTACCATTTTTCATGTGTTGCTCTTCATCTACCACTCTTCCTTAACCACCCATCATCTACCACCCTGCTTGACCCTTTCATTTACCGTCGATTATCTACCACCCTCCATCTACCGCTAATCATATACCGCCCTTTATCTACCACCAATCATCTTCTGCCCTTCATTTACCACCAATCATCTACCACCAATCATCTACTAGCCTCTGTCTACCACCAATTACCTACTGCCCTTCATCTACCACCAATAATCTACTGCCTTTCATCTACCACCAATCATCTACTGCCCCTTCATCTACCACCAATCAACTTCTGCCCTTCATTTCCAGGAATTATCTACTGTCCTTTATCTACCACCAAACATCTACTGTCCTTCATCTACCATCAATCATCTACCGCAACTCCATCTACTGCCCTTCATCTACCACCAATCAACTTCTGCCCTTCATTTCCAGGAATTATCTACTGTCCTTTATCTACCACCAAACATCTACTGTCCTTCATCAACCATCAATCATCTACCGCAACTTCATCTACTGCCCTTCATCTACCACCAATCATTTACTGCCCTTCATCTACCACCAATCATCTACTGCCCCTTCGTCTACCACCAATCAACTTCTGCCATTCATCTACCAGGAATCATCTACTGCCCTTCATCTACCACCCTTTATCTACCACCAATCATCTACTTTATCAACCACCAATCATCTATTTTATCTACCACCAATCATCTACCGCCCTTTCATCTACCGCCCCTGCATCTACTGCCCTTCGTCCATTCATCAATACTAATATTCTATCCTCTTCGAAGGTTGTCTTTCCTTCAATTGCTGTCGTTACGTCGCCTCGTTACCTAATCTCTCAGCCTCGTTACCTAACTTCTCAGTCTCGTTACCTAACCTCTCAGCCTCGTTACCTAACCTCTCAGCCTCGTTACCTAACCTCTCAGCCTCGTTACCTAACCTCTCAGCCTCGTTACCTAACTTCTCAGTCTCGTTACCTAACCTCTCAGCCTCGTTACCTAACCTCTCAGCCTCGTTACCTAACCTCTCAGCCTCGTTACCTAACCTCTCAGCCTCGTTACCTAACCTCTCAGCCACGTTACCTAACCTCTCAGCCTCGTTACCTAACCTCTCAGCCTCGTTACCTAACCTCTCAGCCTCGTTACCTAACCTCTCAGCCTCGTTACCTAACCTCTCAGTCTCGTTACCTAACCTCTCAGCCTCGTTACCTAACCTCTCAGTCTCGTTACCTAACCTCTCAGTCGTTACCTAACCTCTCAGCCTCGTTACCTAACCTCTCAGCCTCGTTACCTAACCTCTCAGCCGTCCTAACCTCTCAGCCTCGTTACCTAACCTCTCAGCCTCGTTACCTAACCTCTCAGCCTCGTTACCTAACCTCTCAGCCTCGTTACCTAACCTCTCAGCCTCGTTACCTAACCTCTCAGCCTCGTTACCTAACCTCTCAGCCTCGTTACCTAACCTCTCAGCCTCGTTACCTAACCTCTCAGCCTCGTTACCTAACCTCTCAGCCTCGTTACCTAACCTCTCAGCCTCGTTACCTAACCTCTCAGTTACCTAACCTCTCAGCCTCGTTACCTAACCTCTCAGCCTCGTTACCTAACCTCTCAGCCTCGTTACCTAACCTCTCAGCCTCGTTACCTAACCTCTCAGCCTCGTTACCTAACCTCTCAGCCTCGTTACCTAACCTCTCAGCCTCGTTACCTAACCTCTCAGCCTCGTTACCTAACCTCTCAGCCTCGTTACCTAACCTCTCAGCCTCGTTACCTAACCTCTCAGCCTCGTTACCTAACCTCTCAGCCTCGTTACCTAACCTCTCAGTTCGTTACCTAACCTCTCAGCCTCGTTACCTAACCTCTCAGCCTCGTTACCTAACCTCTCAGCCTCGTTACCTAACCTCTCAGCCTCGTTACCTAACTCTCAGCCTCGTTACCTAACCTCTCAGCCTCGTTACCTAACCTCTCAGCCTCGTTACCTAACCTCTCAGCCTCGTTACCTAACCTCTCAGCCTCGTTACCTAACCTCTCAGCCTCGTTACCTAACCTCTCAGCCTCGTTACCTAACCTCTCAGCCTCGTTACCTAACCTCTCAGCCTCGTTACCTAACCTCTCAGCCTCGTTACCTAACCTCAGCCTCGTTAGCCTCGTTACCTAACCTCTCAGCCTCGTTACCTAACCTCTCAGCCTCGTTACCTAACCTCTCAGCCTCGTTACCTAACCTCTCAGCCTCGTTACCTAACCTCTCAGCCTCGTTACCTAAGCCTCGTTACCTAACCTCTCAGCCTCGTTACCTAACCTCTCAGCCTCGTTACCTAACCTCTCAGCCTCGTTACCTAACCTCTCAGCCTCGTTACCTAACCTCTCAGCCTCGTTACCTAACCTCTCAGCCTCGTTACCTAACCTCTCAGCCTCGTTACCTAACCTCTCAGCCTCGTTACCTAACCTCTCAGCCTCGTTACCTAACCTCTCAGCCTCGTTACCTAACCTCTCAGCCTCGTTACCTAACCTCTCAGCCTCGTTACCTAACCTCTCAGCCTCGTTACCTAACCTCTCAGCCTCGTTACCTAACCTCTCAGCCTCGTTACCTAACCTCTCAGCCTCGTTACCTAACCTCTCAGCCTCGTTACCTAACCTCTCAGCCTCGTTACCTAACCTCTCAGCCTCGTTACCTAACCTCTCAGCCTCGTTACCTAACCTCTCAGCCTCGTTACCTAACCTCTCAGTCTCGTTACCTAACGTTTACCTAACCTCTCAGCCTCGTTACCTAACCTCTCAGCCTCGTTACCTAACCTCTCAGCCTCGTTACCTAACCTCTCAGCCTCGTTACCTAACCTCTCAGCCTCGTTACCTAACTTCTCAGCCTCGTTACCTAACCTCTCAGCCTCGTTACCTAACCTCTCAGCCTCGTTACCTAACCTCTCAGCCTCGTTACCTAACCTCTCAGCCTCGTTACCTAACCTCTCAGCCTCGTTACCTAACCTCTCAGCCTCGTTACCTAACCTCTCAGCCTCGTTACCTAACCTCTCAGCCTCGTTACCTAACCTCTCAG